TGGGCGTGTAATTGGCGAAGCTTCGGTGGGCTTTACGAATGCTTTTCCAGCCTCTGCAGCTTCGGCCATTACTGCTGCTCTTCTCTCTCTAAGATCTTCTTTTATCGCCCCTCTACATCGTTTTGCAAGTTCGGACGTTAGTTCGCGGTTGCCTGCAGCTCGTGCAATTCCGCGCTGGCGTATCAGCTCGAGTGTTTCTGGAGACAAACGTCTCTTGGTGACTTTCGAACCCTCAGCTTTCATAGCGATAACGTGAAGATGTTAAATGAGCCGGCCGAATTCCTCATCGATGTTATCGACAATGAGGTCTTCCCAACAGCCTAATGGATTGAATAAGTCCCAGTTTGCAGTGGTTCTGGGACTTCGGTTTTGGAATTTAGCTGCTTTTTCTCCTTTCCGCGAGAAATAGAATTTTGCACGAAGGATGCGAGGGTCTGATCCAGTTTACAATTTTGGGACAACAGCGACATCGGTTAGGCAAAACCTTCTATTTACTATGATGTGCTCAACTTCATTATGGTACTCTCTATTGGAAGACTTCCACGTCAAGCGCTGATGGTGGGGCTTCTGGAATTGCGAGTTACCATGGATTGTCTTGGTCGCCATGATAAACTCAGACAGCAGCTCACCCGGTTCGTTCCATTCTAATCCGTGGGTCCCAATGTGACGTTCTTCTTGGTCCAATCTTGGCGTTGAAATCTCTAACGATGGCCTTGAGGAATGTATGGTCTTCTCTGTAGAACTTCTCCAAGTCCATATAGAACGATCCGACTTCTTCGTCATAGTTTGATGTCGACGCGTAAACGGCGAGGATTGTCAAATCCGGAATCGATCTACGTCTTTTTAATCGCGTGCGTCCGATTGGGGATGTAAGTTGTTCGAATAAATCGATGTTCATGAACAAACTCGTGTTGACGAGAACGCCGACGCCGTCGACTCCTCTACTGTCGCATGTTCCGAGGAACAGTTCCTATCCGGTGTCATAGACGGCGTTGAATAGGTGGCGTCTTCTCGTCTCAGCCAGGGCGATGACTTGCTACCTTATCCTTCTTGCTTGCGTGAGCAAGTCTTCTATCGAGGACTCGGATGCAAGTGTACGTGCATTGTAAGTACAGATCATCACCTTAGTTATTCGCGATCCAGGCAGCTTGCATTGGCCCTGAGATTTTAGCAGCCTCTCCGTACTCGTCCTACCCAACGCAGAAAGTATGTGTCAAATCAGCATCAGAAACAGGAAGTCCATATTTTGGGTCCACCTTCGTCTCAGGGAAGCAAAGCTCGCTTTTGGCTCGCTATTATTCCCTATCCGCCACCTGGGTACGCACCAGGTAGCCTCGCGACTAACTGGCTCGAGTTCCCTCATGAGGGAGCAGCCCCATCGGTTATCCTCACATGAGGGAGATCCGTGGAGTGAAAACGCTCTATTGGGCAAAATAAACGCCCGAAAAGATGAATCATGTTGTTTAGCTCAGCCATTTTGCCTGGGAAAGCGTGCATCATGTCTGACTTGACTCCGTAACAGAGATGGAATAAACTTAAACCCAAGGCACAAAGTTGCCAACGATCATGGTAGAGTTTAGTGTAGATATCTAGCGTGCTTAAAACCTATTGACAAAAAACAGCTGTACATTCAAAAGTGAGATTTCTGACTTATTTTCATGTCGTATCACACGTCTACAAAGCCTTTTTCAGAAGAATTGATACAACTTTAAGATGGTGAGATATTTGCAAAATTCCGGACCGCAGGTGTCTGCGGTGGGGAACGAACGCGCTATTGTCCTTTCCGGGAAGTAACGCGTTCACCACCACACCATGCTGGTTCTTCGTTTCGCCTGTCTCTCAGTTAGTTCTATTGGTCTTTTGCCATCAGCAACCACACGTCAGCAGGATTGATCTGGTGAGCCTAAATCAGCAACGAACCCAGTTAAGCTGAGGCTGCAGTTATAATCACAATTTCTACTTATTATTTACTGCCTACTCTTTTTAACAGCAGGATATATATTACGAAATATAGAACAATAGAACTAGCTGAGAGACAGAAAAACGAAGGACCCCGATGGTGTGGTGGTGAAGTGCGCTACTCCCCGGTAAGGACAGGACTCCCCGGCGCGCGTTCGTTCCCCACCGCATACACCTGCGGTCCGGAGTTTTGCAAATATCTCAGCATTATATACGAATTAAAGTTATATTTCGCAATATATACCCTGCCGTTAAAAAGAGTAGGCAATAAATAATAAGTTGGAATTGATACAGTTTCTACTGATAGACAAATATTGATGGATTTAGGGTAACTCGTGAATTTCGAAAATTATTAAAGGTTTTAATACTCACAATTGACGATTTCATAGCAGTAGAAAATACTCAACCGGCGTTAACAAATACTTCGGATCTATGATAAGTAAAAATATCAACAAAGCTAGTGGATGCACGATTCATGAAAAACTGGGGCCACCCTGGAATGCGCCGGCCGATGCCAATTCTTCTTGTAGACGCCTCTGAAGTGTTTGAGAGACGAGATTCCATGAGTCCATAAAACGGTCCATACATCGTTGCAAACATTGTCTGTCTGAATTGGAAAGCGAGCTACCAGGAGACGATATACACTTGCTAGTGCACTTTTCTGACAGGTCCTGCAATAAAGAGTTGTGAATGGTGAAACGGTCAGTTTATCACAGTAGGCTCGCAGTAATGACGCTAAGCATCTCAGCTATTCTATCTACGTATTTCAAGAAACGAAATTTTACATAGATATAACAGTTAGAGAACTTTATTCATAATGATTTACTCCACAATCTTGGTAGGAGTGCTCTTGAGTGCCCAATTGCGAACGTCAGCAAGTCGTTCATACCCTTACGGAAAGTTACCCAACCCAGTACTCCAGAATTTTCATCTGTAAACCAAGTTTAAGTAAATCTGCCCCATCGCAGACCTTGCAGAACTACCTAAACAATGCTATGACAGCTTGACACCCAGAAACACCCAAGCCACGATAAGGAGACAAACAAATGCCTGAATAATAATCCAAAAAATGCCAAGAAGTAGCTAGTTACCGTGATGAGATTCTGTGCATTTGCAATAGCAGCTTGCTGCTTAACACCCGCAATTACTTGTTGCTGCTGTTCAGGAGACAGTTTCTTTAACGCCTCCATGTCCAGCAATTGATCCATCGCTTTAACTGGAATTACAAAAACAAACCTATTACTTTAGAATGACCACATTTTAAAAAAAATCAACAGCGAACATTGAATCGTCCTTCTGTGGTTGTATAAGACTTATCTTTAGCAAAAATAAGCAAGAGAACGCGGGAATATCTTTTAAGTTAAACCCATTACTTATCCTACTATCAGTCTTACAAATAAGAACATTATTTTCTTATTTTATTTTATCTAGCCCGTCTTCACGTCAACTGTGTGGATCCCAACACTTCTCACATTCAATTCCTTCCCTCGCATCCATCATCCCCGAAGATCTTCTGTGGCGGTGAGGGACCTGAGGCAGACTTTGGTTAGGCTCACCCTGAGGCTTCAAGGAAAAACCACAATGGCTAAACCATAGACCATCCAAGTATCTAAGTATTCAAGCTAGGAGAATTCTCAAGATCGTTCACATACTTCCACACACCAAATTAACATAACTCTCGACCAACGAAGCTCCATTGCAAGTCGAACTGCAACATGAAGAATAAGTCCATAAAACAGTAGGATGGCCGTGTATTCTCAGCTTTTGCTATGATAGACCTTGGATGGCTTTACTTGAACAAACATCAACTTCCTCTAGCCTTTCCACACCTTCAAATAGTTGTTTGGAACATGTTACTTTTGAACGCCCAGAGAATTCCCAAAAAAATATGTGGCTTGGATTTTACAGTGAGAGTGGGCCCATCAGATAACGAGAGCATGTTATACCACATTTTGGTTAGTAGATCGAATCGAAAATTGGAAGGAATTACTCGACGACCATCCAGTATGAAAAATTTGTAGTTGCAATGAATCTCTGAACCCATGTCTTTCTTAAAAAGAAATGATGTTGCTACAACCCAGGAGTCGTGAGCAACAAGAAAATAGCTTCCAATGAACACAAGTCAGAAGACCACCACCTTCTTGGATGAGATTAGATCGAGGCCGAAAGGTCCTGATTCCTTGGCTGAAACTTATACACTATTTCGAATTTCTCGTTCCACAAAACCTATCTTGAATGAAGATGCCACTGGACAGAAACGCAATTCATTCATCCAGAGGTGTTGGTAGCAATCGGGAACTCGGCGATATGAATGATGTAAATGGCATTACCTAACAATGCACCGAGGCCATAGTAATACACGCCTCGACGACTATTGCTAAAGGTTTAGCAAAGAGACAAGACCGATTATATGCATAGATGACTGCTTTCCCATAAGCTCCACACAAGAGGAGACGGCAAAATGCTTTGAGTTGTTGAATGAACAGTCAAGGTATATAAAAGTTAGACGAAAGAAACCGGAAGAAAACTGGCTTGAAAGCTCAAATTCACCTATCCGAAAACAGCTACTTGACAAAATGGTAGCGGAAGTTAAGTAACAAAAATATACTGGTCCTTTACTGCTCTTCTCACCCACCACACACAAAAACGACGTTTGTGAAAAACACGTTTCGAACAGCTAGAAATGTGTGCACAAGAAGAAAGCAGCAGAAAGAATCCTTGAAAGAGACGAGGCAAATAGCCACTTCCAATGGCTACAGAGCGGCAGCTCCTCGTAAAAGCATGGAGGAAAAACGACGCTCATAAACGATAAGTTCAGCAAAATTAGAGCCCCTTTCATCCCGACCATTATTTCCAAAGAAACAAGCATACCTATAAAATAATGCTTAAAGAAGACGCCTGCATCGGTAGCAGTGGCTGAATTACCACCAAACACTCTAAAACGCCAACAAATTCATAACCGCTTGTATGACCGGCTATGCACAACGCAGAATTGCTTAATTTGTCCTAACGGTAAATACGGCGACTGCGCCAATTCAGGTACATTTTATCAGATCTCTTTCGAGGCGTGTAGGGAAGAACACACTGGCGAAACGGGTAGACCACTCTGCATCCGCACAAAATACGCTTAGTTGTTAGACTTAAAGTTAAATCAAATACTCCAATAGGTGCGCACAGAACATAGAGAGGTAACGGGAAAAATTTTGAAATAGAAGTTAAAATCCTCGTACAGAAATCGAAAACACCAACAATCGAACGTACATCGTCCTTGCGCGGTCGGTTACTTTTACATTCCTACTTTCGTTTGTGACCTCGGTTTTAACATTACTCCGAATCAACTAGTAGGAAGACTGAGCGGAAGATTCGTCGCCGAAAACACACCTCCCTCTAATCCATATCGTGGTGAGGACCTGGATACGCCCTTGCAAGGTTACGCCAGGACTCCAGAGAGGACCACGTTGCACGGCCAGCAGGCCAGCCTCAGTACCCCGCAAACTGGGTGCTCCCGTCTATGACATCAGGCGGTGAGACGACCGGTGAGAGGCCAGAAAATCTCGGGTTACACAGGACGTCATTGGAACCGGATCTGACGAACACACGCACGACACGCCATGGAGATTGTTTCTTACAATGCACGTATAATGCCAGAACACTTTCCACAGACACTGATCTTCACGCCGTTCTTGTAGCCACAGATCGCATTAAATTTCATATGATCGCATTACAAGAAACAAAAATCAAGAAGACCGACATACGCTAGTGGAACAAAGGGACCCTTGTAATTGGTAGAGAAAAGGCCACGTCACGAAATGTCGGTGGCGTAGGCTTTGTCCACCCGTCCATTGTCCATCTCGTCGACTCATATGTGACCCTTTTCCCTCGCATAGCCGTCCTCCGTCTTCAACTGTCGCATCATAAGAGGATCACTATCATCAATTGCTACTCACCGAGTGTCGCAGCTGATGAGCACGAATTAAATGCGTTCTACTATCAGTTGGAGGAAGTCATCCGCAGTAATAAAGCATATCATAAATTTGTTATTGGAGACTCCAACGCCAGAATAGAAAAGGCCAACGAGAGCGAACACAGGATCGGAAATTTTGGAATATGACAAAAAAATGAGAATGGGAACCGTCTGGCAAGACTGGCAGCAGCACGTCTCTTCCATGGAAACTCGTTTTTCCAGAAGAAAGAAAGCCGCCGCTGGACATGGGAGTCTCCCAACGGCATGACTCATGCGGAGATCGCCCACATTCTGATCAACAGAAGATGGTGGCTACTTGATACATCGGTAGTCCCGTTATTCTGTGCTGGTTCCGATCACCGCCTTCGCGCGAAGATCCGATTCAGCCGCAAGCTAGAAAAGAACAATCTTCATCGACCACGAGGGAAAAGTCTAGCTGTATACAACGACAACATTCTGGACGAAGTCCTGTCCAAACGTGACTGGCAGATTAAAGAATATCCGACCGAAGACTACGAGCTGCTTGTCGAAGGACTGAAAATCTGTGCCGAATTCGCCTCAGTTCCTCAAGCAAGAAGATCGGATCGCATCTCCATCACTACTAAGGAGTTGCTCGAAAAGAGAAAGAAACTGAAGCTTGATCCTACTGCAACATAACATTGCTAGTAATAAATGCCAGCTGCAGAAGAGCTTTGCGGGAAGATCTACAACGGTACAAGCAGAAGAAAATACTGGAAGCAACAAAAAGAAGCAATCTGAAAAAATGCCGTGGAGACTTGTGTGATTATAATGTTCCGCTGTTAGCCCTGGTGAACGAAGATGGGACCGTCAAAACTTCCCACTATGATATGCAATTAATAGCGGAAACGTTCTACACCCACCTTTCCCGTTCCACAATCCCCGTCCCGGACCCTAACATCCCCTCTGGAGAAAAACCACCTGGAATTCTTCCTTTGGAGGTTCGAGTAGAAAGCATGAAAAGAGGCACAGCTCCAGGACCCGATAATATCACTGCCGATTTCCTTAGAGCTGGAGACCACAATTTATATGTACTTCTCGCAAATCATATGACAGGCTACCTTCAAAAGAAAAAAAAAGACCAGTGGAGGACGTCGCGCACGGTTATCCTACCCAAGAAAGGAGACCGAAGTGAACTTCGTAACTATCGTCCCATATGCTTGTTAATTGTATTCTACAAGCTCTTCACGAAGATTATCCTCTCGCGCATATCAAGGACATTGGATGAGGCGCAACCAGTAGAGCAAGCAGGATTTTGAAAAGGATTCTGCTGCATGGACCACATCCAAACCGTGTCCAGGGTCATCGAAGTTTGTCGGGAATACCACTTGCCTCTAGCCCTAACCTTTGTCGACTATGAGAAAGCGTTTGACAGTGTCGAAACGAATGCAATCCTATCAGCGCTCGTCGACCAAGGAGTGGACCCGTCCTACATAAGGACTCTGCCCGACTGTTATCGGATCGACCTCTTACAATACCTGTGGGAAAAGGGGTTCGACAGGGCGACACAATATCGCCAAAGCTGTTCAGTGCCGCACTGCAGTGGATAATGTGGTCACTCGATTGGGATGAGAAAAGCATACGTATTGATGGAAATTTCCCATCAAGCCATCGCTTTGCCGACGACATTGTCATCTCCTGAAGAAGTACTAGCGAAGCAGAAGTGATGATCAACGTGCTCAACGAAGCGGGAAAAAAGTCGGACTTCGCATAAATCGAAATATCCATTTCATGAAAAACCCATGGTGCGAAGGGAAAAAATTGAATTGGATGGCTCCCTCATTGCAGAGGCCACCTCGTACGTTTACCTTGGGCGATCAATGAACATGGAAAACGACATGAACGAGGAACTAGATAGAAGAAGGACCGCAGCTTGGGCCGCATTCGGGCCTCTCAAAGAAGCCACCGACCGACTGGAAGACCCGAAAATCCGCGCTCATCTCTTTGATTCTGCGGTCCTCCCAGCGCACTGCTATGCTGCAGAGACGTGGGTTGATACTTCAACTACGTCAAGAGTCCACACTAATCACAGAGCGCTTGAGCGATGTTTTCTGAAATATAACTGGCACTCTCAATATGTAGCCGGAATGAGAAGCTCTGACCTTCGAAATCTGTCACATCTTCGAGATACATGAGAATATACATCGACAGCGAAACATAGATGGGCCGGTCACATATTGAGAAGAGCCGATGAAAGATGGACGAAAAGAACAGTAGAGTGGACTC